TAAACCTTGTGAGTCTCCACCGGAAGTAAACACAGCAACTCCTCTTCCTTTATATTGATTGAATACTATATCAGTTCCCTCTTTACCAATGATGGGGATGATGGAATCTTTTCGGCATTTCGCAGAAAAACTTGGCAAAGGCCCAACATTTTCTGTGTGAGGCAAAGGCCCAATATCATCCGTTTCTTCTATAGATTCATCCATCTGAAATTAATGAAAAAATGTAATTGTGAAAGAAGAACTAATGAGAAATTAGAAATAAAGTTGATGCCACTAACAAAACTTCCAGCTCGATTCGAATTTCCATTAATAGAATCAATTTGTACTACGAAACTAATTGGGTTTTAGGAAAAAATCGATAACATCTATTAGAGAGGAAATTAAAATATGATTGCAATGTGGGAAAGCGACGAAAGATTAATGAAATCGTGTGAATGAAGGAAATTAATGAATGCAATTATGGAAATTGGAATTATTTTGTTAAGAGTCCCTTATATGGCGTGAAGTATAACAAAAAATTTTTTTTCCAAATCGGAAGAATTAGTGTTGACGATGAACAAAAAAAATAAAAAAATAATTTTGAATAACAAAAAATGTTTTGCATTTGCCAAGAATGCCTCTCAGTCTGTTTACAATCTTTGCGCACAGTCAGAGACGCAGAGTTTTGAAATGCGCCAATGACCGATGAGCACACTGTGTTCTGTGTGTCTGACCCTGACCTCGATAGCATACGGCAAGTCAATTGAGAGTTTTGTATATTTGTCTGATTTATCGTGTTAAACTATTCTTTTATTTTCTTCAAGTTAACTAAAAAAATCCAAAAGATTCACTAAAAGCTTATTATCCAATTATTGTTCTCATTATCATGCTAATGACCTTCGATCTTCAAAAAATCGATAATTGTATGTTTTAATGCTTGTATTACTCACACTGTTCGTACTACGCGTGTTGCTCCTTTATATTCTATGTTTATATGAGTAATTATGACTGTTTTATTATTGTTATTTATAGAGAATCCGTTTATATGACAATGAACAGAAGTTTTGTTCCTGACTATGAAACGGAAAACGATGAGAATCAAGTACCCATTGATTTGCAGGATATGATGATTGACAACGACGAGAACAGAAACACAATGGTATATTAATAAAAATTATTATAAATTGATCAATTATACGAATCACTATCATGAATCATGAATTATTATTAATATAATACTTATTTCATACATGAATTATCATTATCAATCTAAACTCATGAACGCTTTTCGTTTCTTTCAATTTATGTTTATTGTTTCAGATGGATACTGAGATGGACGATATATACGATCATGAGCCATGTTCCGTCGCCACAGACTATGAAGGGGTAGAAGATATGGAAGATGATGTTCCGAGTAATTGTTTAAATGAAGTTTGTATGGTTGAATATGCAAATTCAGATTCCATCGATGACGAGAGGGAGCATATTTGTAAGTTTGTATGGTAAATGATACCGATTATATGGTATTGTTCAGTCGATAAGCCACATGCACATTTCCCTGAGAATGAGCATAAATATCAGTCAGAGGGAAGAATTTTCATGGAAATCGATGCTTTCGATGATTTTGTTCGGGGGCCACCAGAAACACAACAAAGATTATCGAAGCCTGTATATGTTCGAGGACTGCCATGGCGAATTTTAGCACTTCCTAGGTGACTTCAATTTCAGAAACATTCGCGACATTCGTTTTGTAGGCTTGAGACTCCTAGAGATCAAGCAAAAACTGCACGCCCCCAAAAGCATTTGGGATATTTCTTACAATGCAACGGAGACTCAGAATCCACTGTGTGGAACTGTGTTGCTACTGCTCATTTATCAGTGAGTTGTTTCATTTCTGTCACGTGATACTAACTATGGTTAAGGTTTGTGTCCTGGGACAAGATGGTACAGATTACACAAGACGTATTTCTCATACATTTTATCCTAAAGAAAACGATTGGGGATTTTCGCAGTTTATTCCTTGCGATGTAAGTAATGTCTGAGATTTAAGATTACATATGTTGTTTTTCAGCTTTTAAATGAAAAAAATGGGTATCTCAAGGATAATAAAGTCCGATTGTCTTGCTTGATTCAAGCGGACGCTCCACATGGTGTTCAGTGGGATAGTAAACGACATTCGGGATATGTTGGTCTCAAAAATCAGGGAGCCACCTGTTATATGAATTCTATTTTGCAAACATTTTTTTTCTGTTCGAAGTTTAGAAAAGTGAGTCGTCCGTTTGTTGATAGTTTGAATGATAAAAAAACTTTATAGGCTGTATATGAAATGCCAACATGTAATGATAGCGATGATAACAGCGTCGCATTAGCTTTGCAGCGAGTTTTTTATGATTTACAAGTAGGGTCATAAATATATGATGAGAGTTTTAAATTTCAAATTTCAGCATTCCGATAGACCTGTTGGAACAAAGAAATTGACGAAATCATTCGGATGGGACTCATTAGATTCATTCTTGCAGCATGATGCTCAAGAGCTTTGTAGAGTATTGTTAGATAACTTGGAGAACAAAATGAAAGGAACAGCTGTATGAATTTTCGGAATAATCTTTATGTTATACTAACTTTTCAGGTTTCCGATTTTATTCCTCAATTGTTTCGGGGAACCATGAAGTCTTTCATTAACTGTCTCAGTGTAAATTTTGCTAGTGTGCGTGAGGAGCCATTCTATGACATTTCCCTAAACGTGAAGGGAAAATGCGATAGTGAGTCTTCTAATCAAGTTTTTATTTATTATCTTCTCATTTAGTTCTTGAGTCTTTCCGTGAGTACGTAGAAATAGAGCGGTTGGATGGAGATAATAAATATGACGCTGGTCCAATGTATGGACATCAACCAGCTGAAAAAGGAGTTGTATTTATGCAACTTCCTCCTGTGCTGCATTTACATCTTATGAGGTTCCAGTATGATCCTCAATTAGATGCCAATGTGAAAATAAACGACAGGTTATATTACTTCAAGTTTTTTTATCAATAAGATCATTTTAGATTCGAGTTCTATGATCGCCTGGACTTGAACGAATTTGTTGACGACAAGGCGAAAAAAATCGACAATGTGTATCACTTGCATGCTGTTTTGGTACATTCCGGAGATTTCAATGGTGGACATTATGTTGTCTTTATAAATACCAATTTACGTTCTCCAAGAGAGAAAGCTTCTCCTAAGGTATGTATTAATTCAATAAATAAGCAAACCCGTAATTACTTTTTCAGTGGTGTAAATTTGATGATGATGTTGTTTCTCCTGCATCAATCCGCGACGCAATCAATTCTAATTATGGAGGTGAAGACATTGAGTCACCCGGACGTAGTTACACAAGCGCGTATATGCTTGTTTATATCAGAGAAGATGTCATTGGTTTGTTTGCATGAAAGATAGATTTTTAGTCATTCGATTTTTCTCAGATACGACGCTTTTCGATTTTACTGATGCTGACATTCCAAAGCCAATTAGAATCCGTTTCGAGAATGAAAAATCAGAAGAGAACAAGAGAAAGAAAGAAAAACTGGAAGCCCATCTGTACATGGAGATAATTGTCATGCATGAGAGCACCCTATTACGACACCACGGATTTGATTTATTGGATATTCGAAGTGTTGAAGACGACTTGCAGAGGGAGAAGGTTGAAAAGAAAATGACTATTAACGAACTTTACAAGTTTGTTGCTAAAAAGTGGGCACCTCAGTCTAAAAGTTGCGGATATTTCCATGATGGAGTAAGAGAAAGAGAATCCATTTCGTTCATATTTTTGATAATTTCAGTCCTACTCTTTTCCTGTAATGCCTTTCCGCTTATGGAGGTTTGAAGAAACCACTTGGAAAGATGAAGTGAGCCCTGCAGGCTCGCTTCCGAGGTTCAGACCCAGTGTTCATGTAAGTCAGTCGTATCAGTTCTAAATCAAATGCTTCTTGCAGTTGAATTATGGTGCCGATGGATTAACCCGTACTCTTGAGCACGCCTTAGACGGAGAACGTAGTCTATTATTCATTGAGGGACCTGATGAATTCCTTACTTCGTATGATGATAATCGTAAGAATCAAGCAGCCTTGAAATGTTTTCATCGATTTCTTTCTTCAGGAGATATGTTGGTGTTTGTAAAATACTATGATGGAAAACTGAAAGAATTGATAACATTAGGACATCAAATACTTTGTTACCGGCGGAGATTGGAAGAATATTTCAATCATTTCCGAGGCATGGCCCATTTGTCCTTGAAAGAACCCATAAGAGTTTATGAGGTTAGCATTTTCTTTCATGTTTTTAAAACTTCTCAACTCTTAGGAAATTTCTCCTGATCGTGTGAGACAGATTGACACAGATATTCCCACGTGCGTAGAAAACTCGTTTTTGGAGATAACTGATGGAGGAGTTCTCATTTTCGAAAGTAAACTGAAAACCTCCGGCGCAAACAATGCGAAGCACTATTTGGAATCCATTTACAACACAATCGAAGTGGATATTCAAATGAGTCCCGACAACTTCTTACCCGGTTCGCGACAATTAGAAACAAGTATATTTTCCACTGTCGCTATGACATGGCCCTGCGACAAACTAGCGGCGTTTATCGCTGACAGTATTGGCCACAACAAAGACAGAATCCTTTTGTGGAAACTTTCACCTTATAACGAAAAACCTCAACAGTTTGTTACTGGAAACCATCACAAGGTTGTTACAACCTTGAGAATTTGAAAATAACTCTTTCTCCTTTCAGACTATGACAGTTAAAGAGTTACTTGGATTGCAAACTAATCAATCGCATGATCCGAGAAGATCTAAGCGATACAAATTAGTTTACTCTAAAGTTCGTATGAATCCGCTTGATATGGACACCAGACGGCAGATGAAGGTTCAAGTAATGGACGAGAAGTTCAATGTTGAAGTGAGATTGAAAATACAATTTCTATTAATAATAAAATTATTCAGGAAATGACAGTGTTCCCTGACAAATCAGGTACTGTAGCTGACATTTTGGACGAAGTTCAGCACGAGTTTCCGTTTGGCGAAAATGGATCTGGTAAATTGAGGTATTTTTACCAAGTCTCCATCGGTGGTATAATGAGAACGTTCAGACTAGTTTATGTTGGACACAGTGCCCATACTCTGCGTGTATATAATAGATTTGAAGAAAGTACACCCGTTGTTGAAGTTTTGCAAAAATTAGTAAGTCCCGCGATGTTTATGGTATGAGTTAAATGTCGAGAAAAATGTAAATGAAAGAGTTTAGGTTCGTGTGGAAGAAATTCCAGAGGATCAAATGATTGTACGTCCTAACGAATATCTCTTACCTGTTTCGCATTTTGACAAAGAACCAGCTAGAATGTTCGGCATTCCTTTCCTTTTCAAGGTAAATTTAGTTATAATCTTGCAAACAGTTAATTGCTTTTCAGGTTTTCAATGATGAATTATTAACCACCGTGCATGGAAGATTACAAAAATACTTAGGCATTCCGGACAAGGAATATGAAAAATATAAATTTGCTTTGATTAGCAATGGCAGAGTTATACGTTATCTGGACATGGAGAAGGGTAACCGTGTTAATTTAGCTGAACTTGGGCATACACACTTATTAAGTAATGCAAATTTATGATTACTGGACTATAACTTATTGATTTTTAGATTCTGGAGCAATGGCGCCGTTCTTAGGAATCGATCATCCAAATAAGAAACATGTACGACCTATGCAGAATGCAGAGAAGGCGATAGTGATCCACAATTGAAAACGCAAACCTCAAATTTTCTTACTATCTCAAAAGAAATGTTTTAATGAAACAACAGTTTTAAGAGATCGAATAGATCGGAAGTTTTCGCCTTATAACACGAGTCGCTCAATTATGTATTTCACGTTTTTTTTACTGCTATCTTCAAATGCTCAGATATAAAAAGGGTTTCTTTCTAACAACTCAAATACTACATGTAAATTGTGCTGGTCATGCTTCTTGTTGGTACATTTATTGATAAAAGTTTTTGTTTAGATGATACTTTAAAATGTTTAGTGCTCTCTTTCATTTACTTCTCCTCTTCGCTTCATTTTTTGCTCAGATGTATAAATAATAGAAATGACATGCTTGTTGAATAAATCAATATATATATATGTCTGTTTAGAAAAGTTCTCATATTTCTTTCATGTATCACCAATTTTAAATCAACTTTTCCAGAGCCGCATTCATAGATTTACATCATTGTAGTTGAACAAGCAAACTTCAATCCTTCTATAGCTGATTCTTCACAAGATGTTTCGCTGATGAGTCGTAGAGCAATTATTGTCAAACATTCAAGACGATATAATTAGTTGTTCGGAAATATTTATTACGATTTCAATATCAGTTCATGGGAACACATTGGTCTTGTAAGCAATAATGGCCACCTGGACATCTGCCAGCTATGCATGGACCCACTGCTTGATCGAAGATACTGGCTGCTAAAAAAAGTTAGTTAAAGGAATTTGTGTTTTTTGACTCACCAGTAGTGTAGTGAAGAAGAACGAAGATGAAGATGAGGAGGATGCTGATATAGGAG